TGACAGTACAAAGAATTGATGTTTCCAATGGAAGGAATTCGGGAAAAACAGGTTTATTCTGCAAGAGACGAGTATGCAATTCTTGTGTCTTCCTGACCTACAAACCCCATCTTGGTGCTTCCTAATGAATTAATTGTTGATTTTAGATGACGTGACCCCATTTCCTGGTCCCAGGTGATTAGACTCCAGATGGGCACGTGATCCAAAGGCTGCTATCTATAGGCTGGCCAGATACTTAAAATATATGCTAGCACTAAAGGTTTTGTGGGGAGCTTAAATTGGATTGTGACAGGCAGACCAAATTCGGACCTGTCACTTGGATAGCTGGAATGTGAGACAACCATTCCGTCAGTCGGTAGGGGTAGAAATAGAAATAGAAGCAGAGAATCAATGAATTTCCATTCTATGGAGCCCTTGGTGCTAGTTCTTCATTATCCTGTTGTGTGGCTGCTGAAACACTTCTCTTTCCCTTTCTTATACCATCTTTAGAAGAAAACCCCATTAAGTGAGGTAGCCCATCTATGTCTCTATTTCTCACTAAATGAAAGAGTCTAATTATTACATGATGTCAGGGAGAGAGGCCTATGCTCTCTTACTCAGAGTGAGGGAACCTTCTACTCACCTGTCTAGTCAGGGAAGAAGTGCCACTATGACATGTCCTTCACAAGCATGCAAAGCCAGTGGGGGTTCAACAACAGGTAGGACAGGGTAGGGGAGGCTGGCAAACCAACTTCTCAGGCAGGGTTTTCAACTGTCATAGGAAACTCTTTGTCAATAGATGCAGAAGAAACTGGATATAGGTGAGAATTTTTCTTTAAAAAAATATCGAAATACATGCTGAAAGTTCTAGTTCTGGGCATGTTATTCCCTCCGCTTTTCAGAAAAAGAGCACTGGTTTAATAAATTTGGGAGACAGCGCAAACTAGAGCCTTTCCCTTGAGCTAAAAACAGTAAAGATTTTGCAGTATAAATATCAATTTTCTTTGCTTACCCAGCATTTCCCAAACATTTAAGTGTATAGAACTGTGCCTGGTACTTCCCTTATAAATATTTGTTGAGTGAAACTTATCACAGGACCATTCCCCCCCCCCCCCCCAAAACCCCCCTCTTCACCGACAAACAGAAAGGAATAAGTAGAAAGTTAATTGTAGACGAAAGGTGACAAGTAGAAGGAAAGAGCACATGGACAGCGGTGAAGCTGAAACTGTTGTGCAAAATTTAGCTAATTACTATAGCAGAGCTGGTCTAGGAAATAATGGACATCCAGGAGAAGGGCGCACAGTCACTAGTCCAGGTCTATGGAGGAGTCAAAACGAAATCATTCCCTAGGTATTTGTTAGGAGACGCTTTTGAGGAGTGGGGAACAGCACCCAGAAAATCCTACTTAAGTCCACAGACATGCCAGGTCTAGAATGTCAATGAGAAGAGATAGAATATTGACATTGAGACACCAAGTCAATCAGTGGGTTTAGCTGCAATTTTCATGAGGTAGAAGAAATTAAATTGAGATGCCAAGAGCAACAGAACTTGCCTGTTGTTACTGTGCAGACAGCCTCACTGCAGGCCGAGCATTTGGGGAGTTATCACAAGAAAGAAACATGCCTGCTTTGGGGTGTCATGATTCTATTTTAAAAGTAGTCTTTATTTTTTATTTTTTAAATATATTTTATTGATTTTTTACAGAGAGGAAGGGAGAGGGATAGAGAGTTAGAAACATCGATCAGCTGCCTCCTGCACACCCCCTACTGGGGATGTGCCTGCAATCAAGGTACATGCCTTTGACCGGAATCGAACCTGGGACTCTTCAGTCCCCAGGCTGACGCTCTATCCAGTGAGCCAAACCAGCTAGGGCAGTCTTTATTTTTTAGAACAGTTTTATATTTACAGAAAAATTGAGCAGGTACATTAAGATGGTACAGAGAGTTCCCATATACCACCACATTCAATTTCACCTATTATTAGTATTTTACCTTAGTATTATTACATTTAATGAATCAATACTGATACATTAATATTAATGAAAGTTCACAGCTTATTCAGATTTCCTTAGTTTTTACCGAATTTCTTTTTGTGTTCCAGGGCCCATTCAGGACACCACATTACATTTAGTCCTCATGTCTCCTTAGGCTCCTCTTGGCCCTGCCAGTTTCTCAGACTTCCCTTGTTTTTGACACCTTGACAATTTTGAGGAGTACTGGCCAGGTATTTTGTGGGTTATCCCTCTATTGGAATTTGCCTGATGTTTTCGTCATGATTCACCTGAGGTTATGGGTTTTTGGAGGAAGGTCCAGAGAGATAGAGTGTCATTTTCATCACAACGTCACATCAAGACTGCATGTTATCAACATGATTTATCACTATTGATATTGATCATGATTACCTGCCTGAGACAGTGTTTGCCAAGTTTCTTCACCATGAAGTTACTCTTCTTCTCTCCATTTCCTTAATACTATTTGGAAAGAAGTGTGCACAGTGCATATTTAAAGAGGTAGAGATTTATGCTCCCTCTCCTTGAGAGTCAAGTATCTACATAAATTAGTTGTGATTCTTCTGCATGGGAGATTGTTTCTTTTCCCTACTTATTTTTCAATCATTTATCTATATTGATATGGACTCAAACACTTATTTTATATTTGTGATAATCTAATAATCTATACTAATAAAAGTAATATGCTAATTAGACTGGGAGACCTTCCAGACATCCTTTTGGACAAAGCCGGGGTCTTGGCCGGCCTGCAAACCACCCCCAAACGGCCCTAAGTCCCTCGCCCAGGTCAGCCACGCCCCCCAACCGGGACCCCCTGAAGGGGATGTGGCCAGCCTGAAAATGGCCCTCAGCCCCTCACCCAGGCTGACCACGCCCCAATGGGGTGAGGGTCCCCACTGAGGAGCTTGGCCAACCTGCAAACAGCCCTCAGCCCCTCACCCAGGCTGGCGAGGCACCCCAGTGGGGACCCCCACCCTGAAGGGGGTGTGGCCAGCCTGAAAACAGCCTTCAGCCCCTCACCCAGGCTAGCCACACCCCCATGGGGTGAGGGCCCCCCCGGGGGGGGCTTGACCAGCCTGCGAACAGCCATCAGCCCCTCACCCAGGCTGGCCAGGCACCCCAG